AAAAGAATAAAGAATTGCATACAACATATTTCCAAGTATTTTGGTACAATCACAAGCAGAGTAAGCTTCAACAGTGTGTAGATTGGAAGAATGATAGATTGTCGAGTACTATGAAGGAGCAGAAAAAGAAGGGATAAAAATATGAACAGTGTAAAAAATAATTTCTCTCACTTCGTAAGAATATATTATAAAGATTATACATATAATACTAAACTTACATAGAATCCTGTTGAGTCAATACTCTTTCAATCACTGTTGGGTAACTCTCTGAAGAAGAAGTTGTGTTTGAATAAGATAGGCTAAAAATATCAACAGTGTAAAAAATAATTTCTCTCACTTCGTAAGAATATATTATAAAGATTATACATATAATACTAAACTTACATAGAATCATGTTCCAACAGTCTTTCAATTACTGTTGGGTAAGAAGAAGTATCCGAAGAAGTTGTGCTTAAAGACATATTTTCATCTTCTTCGGTCATTTTAGCGTATTCAGATCCACAATTAATGTCATCTAAATTATATGCCTAAAAGAAGAGATATATTAATTAAAACAATTTATAAGTAAGTTACTTTAAGATAATTTTTCAAGTAATACGACAAATTTTCATCACATTTTTTCTAAAATATTTTTTAAAACTGTATAAAAATATCTAGAAAACTCATTGATACATTAATCAATTACGTCAGTGTGGTCTATTCTCAGGCACGCGGGCCCGAGGCTCGTTAACACGTTGATCGCCATGTGCGGCAAGTGTGCCTCGCACTAATGTATTTACAACAGGCCGCGCCGCACACATATGTCTCGCATGTAATGTTTTATTCCAAGCCGCGCTGCACAGAATTGCTTCACGTTTGAGTGGAAATGCTATGAGAATTAAAAGTAGATGGCCCAATGAAAAAATTAAGTTAGTTGGCCCGGCCCTGGACCCGATTATCTACGATTTAATTAAGGGTTGAATGTCACAATATCATACCATATTTTTTTATGTATTTTATTCTTTTTACTGTTGTAATGTAGTTTGTTAGGTAAATACAAAATCAATGAATTTAGACAGCAAAATATTATTTTATTTGAAAAATAAACAGACCAAATTTGAAAATATATAAAATAAAATATATTCGCTTAGATTTATAAACACAAAATTTATATTTCAACAACAAAATAAAAAATAAAACCTAAGAAATCAGTATTTTGCAGTCTTTATACTCGTAATTTGCACATATGAACAGAAGTAAAGCAAGGTATACAATAAAATTTATCGCACTGTATACATTTATAACGCGACATAGTGGCCTTAGACGTCGCATATTTTCTACCGTGTTGTTCGGACATGTTCTTGTAGCAATTTGAGCATCTACGTCTACTAGTAGTGTTCACTTCCTGAATGTGATGGCTCTCTACCAATGGAGGATTTTCTCTTGAGGTGATATTTAGCAAGTGTTTGGCAATATCTTCTCTAAATTGGGTAATTGTGATATTTTTACCAGTAACCTGTTTATATAGTATAAACGCGTTTACGATAGTTGAACCTAGAAGAATTTCTATTGCCAATTTGCGATACCACTTGAGGCTACGTCTGAGGCAAGAAGAGTAGGCTTTTAGTTGATCAGAGAGATCAATGAAACTTTTGTTTTGGTTATAGTCTCTAATAGCTGTTGGTTTTTCCTTTTCAGTTCCATTTTTGGACTTTACAGTAACCATTTCATTTTTGTGTTTTGTTGTCAGCATCAAAACTTCACGTTTATCACACCACTTCAGTATCACCACTCCAGAATCACTTTCCTTGGCAATAACTTCGCCTTTTTTTAATTTTTTTTGTACTATGTCTTTCGGGATTCCCTTCCGATTTTTTCTTAAGGTACCGACCAGATGAGTTTGTCTGTCCAGCAATTTGTGAGCAAGTTCGATACTGGTATAATAGTTATCCACAAATATGGTTCGGCCACTATCCAATAAATTTTTGCAAAGCCCCATAACAATCGATGTTGGTACGCTGTCAGAAGTAGTATTTTTTTCTGTCCCACAATATATTTTGAAATCATACGTGTAACCTTGTTCAAGACAAAGTTTGAAAACTTTTACCCCAAACTTGTGTCTTTTGTTTTTTATATATTGTAGAAAACTAAGACGTCCTCGGAAAGGCACGAGGGTTTCGTCTACGCAAACATTACGTGAAGGGGTTACTGCGTTTTGAAATTTTTGACTGATATGATTTAGAAGGGGTTTGATTTTGTAAAGTCTGTGCGAAGTATCTGTACTTTGATTATCAGCAAAATGCCAGTGGCTCAAGAGGAGCTCAAATCGGTTTCTGGACATTAACGATTTTATTTCGTTTGAATATAAGATATTCTTACACCAATATGATGTCACACTAGGCATCTGAACTAATCCCATCCAAATCTGTATACCCAAAAATATTTTCAATTCGTCAGTAGTAGTATCCTTCCATTGTCGAATCCGAGCTTGAAGTAAATTGGTTCTTTCTGCTTTTTGCGAAGCGTATTTATTGGTTTCTTGTACCATCAAATTCATGATATCGTCATCCACAAACAGTAAAAAAAAATCAATAGGCTGGTTATCATGCATACCTGAGATATTTTCATTTATATTCAACCCTTGCTCGAAAACAGTGAAATGTTTCAAATTATCCCCAGTTACCTCATTCCAGTTCAACACTCTAGAAGCACTAGATATTTCGTCAGCTGTATCACTATCCCACTCAAAGTTTCTGATAACACTTTCAATCGTTTCATCAATTAGATTCATAGGACTGCTAATCGGATTAGTTTCCATGTTTTCACCATGTTTTTCTTGTTCAGCGCTTTCGATTTGTACTGCAAATGATGTACTGGGTTGATCTATACTATTAGGATAATTAGAAACGTTGAGTACCTTTTTTTTCTTCTTTTTTTGAACAGGAGATGAAGAATAATTAGATGAATCTGAATAACAACTACTAGCTATATAACTTTCCGATGAATACTCAAACACCTCTTCATCTGACAACATATCATCCATTAGTTTTTGTAGTTTACTTTGATTTTTTTCATAATCACCCATTTTTCTCAATTTTACTGCGATACTCTTACTACGATAACAAGTTGATGCGAACTAAACTAAATAATACACTGGTTAGATCCATACCGCAACAATATGCAGGTTTATTCTTGTAAATTTGCGAGGCACGTGCGCATCGCATGGCCTCAGCTTAACAATTTTATTTCTAAGGCCGCGCGGTGCAGCCGTGCCTCGCAGTTCAAAATCATGTTTAGAAAGAAATTTTGCTATATTTAAGAAATGCGTTGTTTTTGTACTGCATTTGTATGCGTTTTAAACGAGAAAAATTAATTGGCCTGGGAAAAGGCAAAAAATATTATCATTATGGCGATCAACGTGTTAAACTGCGGCCCCCGCAAACACATTTCAAAATATTGCCATTGATACCTTTTACTTGTTCCAACCCTGTCTAACTTTCCGTAATCTTAAGAAAGAAGTTAACCTTTAATACACACCAATCTTAGCAGCATCACATGAAGTATGTTTAGAACTTGTCAAAAGTAAAAGAGCGTTTAGAGATGAAGAAATGATCAAACGGTGTGCCGTTAAAATGGCGCGATCTTTTGGGAGTTGTAAAGATGGCCAAAAATTTTGAACGACACAGTTCGTGATTATTTGTACAACTCCTTAGCCCTGGACGAATCTGTTGATATTACTAACAAAAATCAGCTATTAATTTTTGTTAGATGCATCAGTGAAGATTTTTGTGCAACTGGGGAACTGCTAAAACTAAATACTAATACTAAACTTACATAGAATCATGTTGAGCGAACAGTCTTTCAATCACTGTTGGGTAAGAAGAAGTATCTGAAGAAGAAGTTGTGTTTAAAGAAATATCTTCATTTTCGTTGGTCATTTTAGCGTATTCAGAACATGATCCATAATTAATGTCATCTAAATTATATGCCTAAAAGAAGAGATATATTAATTAAAACAATTTATAAGTAAGTTACTTTAAGATAATTTTTCAAGTAATACGACATTTTCATCACATTTTTTCTAAAATATTTTTTAAAACTTTATAAAAATATCTAGAAAACTCATTGATACCTTAATCACTTACGTCAGTGTGGTCTATTCTCAGGCACGCGGGCCCGAGGCTCGTTAAACTGCGGCCCCCGCAAACACATTTCAAAAATATTGCCATTGATACCTTTTACTTGTTCCAACCCTGTCTAACTTTCCGTAATCTTAAGAAAGAAGTTAACCTTTAATACACACCAATCTTAGCAGCATCACATGAAGTATGTAGTGATGTGAACTTTAGTTACTTTTCAGTACTGGTAACGATTAGTTACTTTTTGTGTTAGGACTCGTTACTTTGTAACAGTTACTTTTATATAGTTACTTTTGTTAAAGTATTAGGTAATTAGGTATATATATTTAAACAAAAAATAGAAGTAAGCTCATAACTATAAAATATAAGATAAGATAAGGCATGATAGCCTGTTTCATGTGTAAGAGGATTATAAAAAAAAAGGGAAATTTTTAATTATCAAAAAGTATATTCTAAATATAAAAAATAATATAATTAACAATAACAATGAAAAAAAAACTTTAAAATGTACTTCACGTATTATAGGTTTTCATTGCAGCTTAAAAATAAAATAGTTTCAACATTTTTTGATTTCAAGCGGTTCCTTCATTCTGTAATGACTTGGCCTGCCTTAGAAAATACACGCTCACATGGAACGGATGTAGCAAGTACTGACAAATATTTCTTTGCTAATCCCGCAAGCCATGGATATATCTTTTCTCTTTCCTTCCACCAGAGCAGAGGATTTTGTTTTCTTTCTAAATTCGCCTCTTCTGAAAACATTTTTAGTTCAGCAATAGCCACTGCCGTTGGGCTTGTTACAGTGTTTGAAGATACCAAGTTGTCAAAATCTTGCCAAATGATGTCGTCAATTTCTGTACTTGACGTCTCCGTCAACGGTAACTAATGTATATCATTGGAAGGCTCTGGGGCCGTATCGTCTTGTTGACTTTTTTTAATTAGCCCAACTAATTCTTCTTGAAGTCTCTCTTTAACCTTTTTTAAACAGTCATCGTTATTAAGTCCCTTAGATTTAAATCTTGGATCCAGAAAAGAAGGTTTTCCCATTATTGTATTATTTTCAGGGTTCCCAAAACGTGTAGTTATTGAGGCTAGCAATGAATGTATTAAATCTCTTCCTAATTGACTCGTAATTTGAACTCTTATTCGCTCTAAAGATGATATTACCCCCTTAATAATAAGAATTACTTTGGACAGAGTTATTTGTTTTTCGGAACTCATTTCTACAGTAACAACCTCAAATGGTTTTAATATTTTACAGAATTCCTGTAATAGTAACCATTCTTCTTCCGTCGGTAAACTTACTGGATTATGCAAGACAGCAACTGTGGCAGCTAATGGATTACATAATTTAACTACCCTTTCTAACATATAATATGTTGAATTCCATCTTGTTTGTACATCATTAATTAGTTTTAAAGGAGTAGCATTGGGATTCATTTGAGACTGAGTTTCAAAAAATTTAGCGGTGGCTTGAGAACTCCTATGAAAATGTTCAACTATTTTTTTAACTTTTTTTTGCAGCTCCTCTATGTGCACCAATCCATTCCTAACGATCAGATTGATAGTGTGTGCAAAACAAGGAATATGCACCCAACCAGTTATTTTTACTGCCGCTATAATATTTGCCGCATTGTCGGTAGTTATAGCGTATACTTTGTCAGAAATGCTCCATTCATCTGCAACTCGCCGTAATTCACGAGCTATATTTTCAACAGTATGCCTCCCATCATATTTAAAACATGACAGTAAACACCCATAATACTGCCAATCAGTCGCTATAAAGTGTGCTGTAACTGCTACATATCCTTCTGTATTAATAGAAGTCCAACTGTCGGTACTTAATGTGATATATTCAGCAGTTTTGAGGAGAGCTTTAACTTCGAGAAATTTTCTTTCATATTTAGCTGGCATTAAAAGTTTGCTAAAGGTTGATCTGTGTGGTACGACATAAGACGGTTCAAGTTCATTTAAAAGTTTACGAAAACCCCGATCCTCGACAATTGAAAAAGGTTGTAGATCGTTTACTATCATATTTAATATTAAATCGCTAATTTTTTGGTGACGTGATAATGAAATTGGTCGTGATACATATCCCTGTAGACTTGACTGTTTTTGTTTTTTAGAAATTGATATTTTTTCAACACTTACAGGTATTGTATGCTTCTCCTCTTCAGTGTACATCGTCGGTGTTACTTTATTTTGTTCCAACCTTGAAGTTGCAATTGATGTAGATGGACCTAAATTAAATATATGTGTATGAATTAAATTAAATTGTGCACGAAAAATAAAAATTACCTGCTTGCATTACTTCTATCGAATAAATGAAAAAGGCCCAGAAATAACCAAAGAAGAAGTAATTCACGCAGTAAAATCTCAGAAAGACGGAAAAGCCACCGGTCCAGACAATATCAATGTCGAAATACTAAAACTAATTGCAGATAACGAAAGTAAAAGCCTAGACTTAATAACAACACTATTCAATAAGATATATGACACAGGTAAAATACCAACAGACTGGCTAAAATCAACATTCGTAGCATTACCAAAAAGATCGAATTCCTCACAATGCGATGATTATCGAATATTAAGCTTGATGTCTCATGTCCTTAAAGCTTTTCTCAGAATTATACATACACGAATTTACAAGAAGTGCGAGTTTCAGATGAGTGACACTCAATTCGGATTTCGAAACGGATTGGAACACGAGAGGCTCTGTTTGCTTTAAATGTGTTAACGCAACGATGCAGAGACATGAATGTAGATGTATATGCATGCTTTATTGACTATCGAAAAGCATTTGACTGTGTTAACCATCAAAAGATGATTGAAATTCTGAGAACAACTGGAGTTGACGAACAAGACTTGCGAATTATCTCAGAACTATACTGGCACCAAACGGCAACCATTGAAATAGAGCACACAACATCTGAAGATATACAAATCCGACGAGGAGTGAGACAGGGTTGCGTCTTATCACCCCTTCTGTTTAATTTATATTCGGAGTCCATATTCAGAGAAGCATTAGATCAGGTCCAAGGCGGAGTTAAGATTAACGGAATCAGCATAAACAACATCAGATATGCTGATGATACTGTTTTAATAGCAAGCAACGCACAAGAACTACAAAATATAATAAATGCGGTAGTTCACCACAGCGAAATGTTCGGCTTACATCTAAATGTTTCCAAAACGAAAACTTTAGTATTTTCAAAGACACCAATAAACATACATGTGTATGCCAAGGGTCAAATGATAGAACAGGTAAATTCTATAAAATATTTGGGAGCAAATATCAATAGTCAGTGTAACCCAAAAAAAGAAATACTATCAAGAATCGAACAAGCAAGAAGAACATTCATGAGCATGAAAACATTTTTTACAAGATCAGACCTTAGTCTGCAGCTTAGAATCCGAATGATTAGATGCTACGTTTTTTCTGTCTTACTATATGGCTGTGAAAGTTGGACAATGGACTCCGAAATAGAAAAAAGAATAGATGCCTTTGAGATGTATGTATACAGACGAATATTGAGAATTCCATGGGTACAAAGAGTTACTAATGTTGAGGTACTTCGTCGAATGAGTAAACAAAAAGAATTACTAAGAATAATCAAAGAGAGGAAAATGCAATACTTGGGTCATGTGTTGAGAGGCGAAAAATATAAATTACTTCAAGTTATACTGGAAGGAAAAGTACAAGGCAAAAGATCAGTAGGAAGACGTCAGAACTCATGGCTGAAAGACCTAAGGAGATGGTTCGACCGCTCATCCGCAGAAATCTTTCGCGCAGCAGTTTCCAAAACTACAATTGCCATTTGGATCGCCAACCTTCGAAAGGAGACGGCGCCATAAGAAGAAGAATTACTTCTATGTTTAAAAGATTAGTGCTTTCAGGATGACTGCTTCTTTTTTCGAGTGGTTCCTCTAGAACAGTGTTTCCCAAATGTCTCAAAATTGCGGACCCCCAAAATTAGACAATAGGATCATGGGGACCCCCAGAAACAGTTTCGTTAGAAAAATAAAAAAACAACTATTGCGTTTTTTAAATATGTTATTTAATTAATAATTAATAAAAGAAAATAGAAATAAAATACAATGATTACATTATAAAACTTATAAATTTTCAGCAGTTTTAAATTTTAATGAAAAGAATGGAACACTGATTTTTCCTTCATAATTTTTTGTAAATCAGGTCTAATATTTGAAATTTTTAACCTTAGATCTGAAACAACATCCAGTCGATTTCTTTGTTTTGATTTTAAAATAACGTATACAGAGAAAGCCTGTTCACATAAATACGTCGTACAAAATGGAATCAAATGTTTCATAGCCTTTTCGGAGAGATCGTTGTAATCAGAATTAATTTTAATCCAAAACTGAATTAAATCGTTGTCGTTAAAAATATCTTTTTTAGAACTGCTACAAGACAAGTCCACGAGCTGATCTTGTTGTTTTTCTGTAAGACTAGCATTTTCTTCAATTCTTGATGTAACAAACGGATTTCTAATCCAGCTGTTTTCATCATTTGGTGCAGGAAAATATTCACGAAAACTTATAACTACATTCCGCAAATGCTCGCAAATTATAAGTTGAATCTCTTGTGGCAAAGTTTCTTCCTCGGATTTCAGAAACGAATCTAAAGTCGGAAATGAACTTAAAGATGATTGTTCCACACGGTTAGCCCAAATTTGTAATTTTTGTATGGTGGCTTCTATTTTTTCGTCAGTTTTAAAAATATTTACATTTTTGCCCTGTAATTGTAGATTCAGTCCATTTAAAAAAACAAAAATATCGGATAAGTATGCTGTCATGCACATCCAAGAAAAATTGTTAAGTCGTTCAGCTAATTCAAATTTATTCTCACTTAGAAAAAGTCGCACTTCGTTGCGCAATTCAAAAAATCGAGCCAAAATCTTTCCCCGGGATAACCATCGTACTTCTGTATGTAAAAGGAGTTGAATGTGTTCACTGCCTGCTTCTTCACAAATTGCTTGAAAAACACGGGAGTTTAACGGCCTGGCCTTAATAAAATTAATAATTTTAACAACTTCGTCCAAGACCAATTTTAACGATGGCGGCATTTTTTTGCAAGCTAGAGCTTCCCTATGGATACAGCAATGAGTCCATATTATATTGGGTGCTACATTTTTCACGAGTGCCACAAGACCCGTTAATTTTCCAGACATAGCACGGGCTCCGTCTGTACTTAATCCAACGCATTTGTTCCACAATATATTAGATTCAGTAAAAAAATCATTGAGAGCGTTAAACACACAGTCAGCTGTAGTACGCATTAGTTCCCGTAAACACAAAAAGTCTTCATGAATTTCACCATCATAGTCGTAACGAACAAATACCAACAAAATTGCTTTATTTGAAATATCTGTACTTTCATCAAGTTGTATGGCGAACATTTTACAAATCTGGAGTCTTGCAATTAAAATCTGTTCAACATTCAGGGATAAATCGGTTATTCTTCTTTTTATAGTGTTGTTGGAGAGAGGTATTACTTGCAACTGGTTTGCAGCAGAATCACTAATCATGGTCTTACACATAATCTGCGCAGCTGGAAGCAGTAACTCCTCTGCTATAGTGTGGGACTTTCCAGATTTAGCGATTAATTCCGCTATTTGAAAAGAAACAAGTGTGGCCTTTTCATTTCCAGAAGCAACTGTTTTTATTACGTTTTGACTCTGTTTAAGTTCTTTCATTTTCAATCGAAAGAAATCAATAGATTTATTCTCTGATTCAGGGTGCTTTCGCTGTAAATGACGTCGAAGTTTTGCCGGTTTCATACATTCATTTGAAAGCACATCAAAACATAAAACACATTGTGGTCTTAACTCGTCGTTGACGGTATTTTCAATAAATCCAAATTGTAAATATTCTTCATTATATTTTCGTTGCTTCCCACGAAACTTACCAATACTTTTTGGCGTCGAATTCGCTGCCTTAGGTTGAGTTTCTGACTCCTGAGAAATACTTGGTTGTTGTTCCGTCTCATCATCACAGTGTGGTCTTTTCAAAGAGCCGCTTTTCAACCAACGATCCATAGTAAAAACACTAGTCACTATTAGTCACTAATCAACCGAACAATTGTAATAAAAATTGTGTGTATCTGCTTCCAAATCGATTCTAAAGTTGTCACGTTACCATTACTTTACACGTTACAGGAGAAACTAAGCTCAGACAAAAAAAATGCGTAGGCGCAAGGCCACGCCCGAAGCCATGACGTGTTTATGTGTTAGCAAGCACCGTTACCAGATCAAACATTAATTCTTAAAACTTCAAAAAATTGTGAACGTATTTTTGCCTATTCTTTTTTTATGCCGTGGGCTCGCGGACCCTCGAAAAATATGTCGCGGACCCCCGGGGGTCCGCGGACCACTATTTGGGAAACACTGCTCTAGAACCATTGTTGGATGTTTATTTTTAAGATGTTTTCTTAAATTTGATACATTTCCGCCTTTATAAGAGTATATACCGTTGCAAAAATTGCATTTCGCCTTATCATTAGAAGTGATAGCAAAGTGTATCCAAATAGCGCTTCTTTTTTGACTGAATAAATCCATAATTAAACAATGATTCTGCTAACTATTATAAAATAGCTTTCACAATATTAATGGACAAGTATCTATACAAAATCGCACCGAATGTCCGAATGAACATCAACGAACTCATCTGTCGATTGCCGAAGCGGGGGAAGTGCACTGTGCACTATGGGCGTGGTACCAACCAGGTAGTAAAGTTATTTTAGTTACTTTGGTGATAGTTTCCATTCCGCTGACCGTTAGTTACACAATGCCTCAGGATATACTACAGAACAATGCAACGAAACCATGAAGTAACTAGTAACGAGTCATTTTTCAATATAGTCATCGTTACTTAGATATTCGAAAAGTAACTGTTACTTTGTAACGATTACTTACTTTTTTCGCATCACTAGAAGTATGTTTAGAACTTGTCAAGAGTAAAAGAGCGTTTAGAGATGAAGAAATGATCAAACGGTGTGCCGTTAAAATGGCGCGATC